AATCCATGCCGTTTCGATCAAAAGCCAGAACTAGGGAGCTACTTATGCTGAACAGAAGTGGCATCCGACTTGTCACAGGTTTTCTAACTGGACACTGTGGAGTTAAAAAACATTTATTGAATCTAGGTATTACTGGAGACGATAGCTGTAGACTTTGTTACGAAGAAGAGGCAACAGCAGAACATATATGGTGTCACTGTGATAGTCTTGCAAGACTCAGACTTCGCTACTTATGCATTGCCTATCCGCTTATAACGGAATTAGGCAACATCTCTCCAAAGGACATACTGGCATTCTTAACTGCTACTTGTGTATGGAACTGAAGTGGGTATGTCACAATAATCCTCGAGGATGCGGTGACGCGGTGACTACTTCCCAACCCTTCTTTTGAAAAAAAAAAAAAAAAAAAAAAGAGGTGGCGTCAGCGAAAAGGAAACGTATTAATTTGACACATACGTTATTTTGTTCTACTGCCATTAAACTACAAATACACAGAAGTTGAAAAAGAACATTTCCGGCATGCATTACTTTTCTAATTTAATCAAAATAAAACGGCTACTCGTCTTCCATCAAGTTGAACATGTTACATATAGTTTTGATAATTTAAAAGTGGTGATTCTTATGTGGAAGACAGTGATAGCTCTGGTGGATTACAAAAGTGTGAAGACAAGCGTTATCAGGATTTATTAGATATTATCCTAACTCAATCTCATCTGCAATTGGTAAAAGCATTAAATGTGTCACAAGAAACCATCATTAGATGTTTACAAGAAATGGAGAAGATTAATAAACGTCATATGGAAAATCACGAAGTTAATCGTGAAATGCTCCTGCAACGCTACGAAAGAAAATCATTTATGTATCGAATTGTGGCAGGTGACAAAAAATAGATTTATTTTCAAAATCCGAAATTGAATTTTACCTGGTGACAGGTAACAAAAAATAGATTTATTTTCAAAACTCGAAGTCGAGTTTTATCTGGTGAAAGCGTTTGTTCAACACCTAGGCCCAGTCGCTTCGACAAGAAGACCATGCTTTGTCTGGTGGGATCAGACCAGCATTGGGTATTACGAACTGTTGAAGCCTGGGGAAACCGGCGAATGTATAACGCTATCCATAATAAATAATTAATTGAAATCACGCATTGATCAAAAGACGATCAGAATAGTCCAATGTTACAAGGTCTTAACCGTATTTAAATGCACTTTAAACTTTAGAAAATTTAGTTCTATGCAAGTTCTATGTAAAGTTTAAACACACTTCTCTCATTACAAGAGCAGTTTGTACGAATACAATAATATAATATAATATATATTATTTACAAATAAGGCAATAATGATTTAGTTTCTCTAATAGAAATGTTATTTTCTAAATCTCATAAATCACATTTGTTTATGACAACAAACAATTAAAATATAAAAGTTTATTAAGCTGATATAAATCCCACACCCTTTGTGCATGCTTAGAACACACATTTCAATTAGCAAAAGAAAAATCTAATAAAAAGCTTGATTAAATTGTTGACGGAAAGCAAATAATGTTTACAATGCATGGAATTTTTTCTTATCAGCTACATTTTTAAACTTTTATAAAAAAATTGGACTTGAATAGTGAATTTAATAGATTTACAATCAATATACACAAATACATTATTTTTCATCTTTAGAATCAAATTTTAAAGTTTATAAAATAAAAGTAACAAATTCAAAGATTTCAGGTGGTTTTTGCTGTAAAAGGCACGCAAGTTATAATTGGAATTGAATGAGATGACGTCAGTACTGTGCTAACATACTTCGCTAAAGCTCTCTAGAAACGTAAGCAGCTAAGTCTGGAATTACAAAAACAAAGTGCTTTGCATTGTTGTTGTTCAACTTGAATTGAAGGCCAAGAATATTGAAAGCAACGAGTAATAAGAATTTCGCACAATACCAAGGTGTAATGAGAAAACGTAGCAGCAACAAAACAGCTCCACTGAACACAAATTAAAGTTGTTAATTTAATTATTAGAAAAATGTAAAATATTTTCTTACCTTTGAGTTTTGCTGAGTGTATTGCGGCAGTGAATGTGATATGCTTTGTCGGTGTTGGATATTATTTCCGCCGTTGTTATTGTTGTTGTTATAGTAAGGATTCGAGTGTTGTCCTGTGGCCACAGTAATAATATTCGAAGACAAATGTGTCGGTAATACACTTGTTTGTTGTAAATGGGAATGAGAAGAGCTTGAACTGCTGGCACCGCTTGGTGTGTGATGTACTCCTGTATTGCTATTATCAACTTTGTTGTTGTTGTTAATATGAGCTCTGTTATTATTGCTTCTCACTTGGTAACTAAGCGCTTTAAGTTGTGCTCCCAAACCATTTTCTAATCCCGAATTTGTTGTTGTCCAAATCGTTGACATTTTGTTGAGTTATTCGTATGGGGCGCTGCGTTGGAGTGGTTCGCCTTAAAGAAAATCGAGCTGACGGCAAACATTTTGAAGTATTAGTTATTTTTATTTATTAAAATGTATGAAATATACTATTGCAATGTATATGCAAAAACTGAAATTCACTCAAATTAAATTGTATTTTATATCTGATACTGTAATTAATTTTATTATTATAAAAAATAAACAATAACAACACGAGCGCGGAAAGTTTTTTGTTTGCTTAAAATAGAATAATAGCTTGTGAAAATACAAAGAGGCAAACACAAAAATCGCGACAGTCAACTTAAAATAAGAAATTAACGACGTTGAACATTCGATGTTTGTATTAACAATATCTGCAATAAAATATATCGAAAACAATAAATGGAAAAGAGAGATACGAAAAATAAAACAAATTCATAAAAAACAACCGGTTCAGCTGTTAATAGGGTTGCAATGCGTTAACATTTTCAGTTTAGTAGTAGATTTTTAGCTGTCATGACAATTTAAAATTGTACCATGCAAATATATAAATACATATGATTTTGTACTTAACTCGGCAAATATATCGCAATTATAGTATATTGTGGTGTTTTTACATAAAATTCACACACCTATATGCGCTAAAAAGGTTTTTTGAGTTTAAGTGTAAACCTAGTTTAGTAAGAAGATGCTTAATGAAGATCAACAAATTTTATATTATGTATTTTTAATTATTTATATATATATGCTAAGTACGTTTAATAAGTCTAATAGTATATTTACACTATCTCATTTAGGCACTTGCTCATTTATAATAATGAGTAAACGTTCATATTATAACGAGTTCATTTATGTAGCTAATGGAATTTTTATAGACTTTTATAAACTTAATTATATATCACATATATATCATATAATTGATATTTAATCATTTATATACATTTTATGTATCATTTACTTATTGATTTAATAAAACAAAGAATTTATTATATACTTACTTTTTCAGTGTGTTTGCTTACAGTTCAGCTGTTGTTTGTTTACATTTTATATATAAAACATGTGACAAATATTTCAAATTTTAAAAATTTCTCTTATGGAAAATTTATTTTTAAGGGTTCCACTCGATATTTTTCGCCTTAAATGAGTTGATTTATAGATAATGAGCTCATTTATATGAACAATTTTTGTATGATAAATCATTCTCATTAGTAACTATGAGCAATGAGCAAAATCGACTAAATGAGACATTGTGAACGTGAACGTACGATATATGTAAACTAACATAAAACAAAAACAATATGTAACAAAATGTAAACTCAAAAAACTTATGTAAATGATTAAATCTTAAAAATTGAATGCTAACAGATTTTGAAAGCTAATGGCGAAATCCACTAAAGCTAATAAAACTACTGAATGCCATCCTTTACAGTTATAATAGTAAACTTTAAAAATTTCGGAGATACAAATGAAAATGTAATTTTTTCATTAGATTTATTAACAAAAAACATATGATTTTCTTAATTTGGGATAGTACGAACACTTTCCAAATTAACTTAATTTCATTTCGACAAAATTTAGGAAATTTGGTTGTCAGAACATAATATAAAGAACTCAATGCAGTTTCTAATGTATACAACCCTGTATTTAATATTGATTAAGCGCTCTCATAAACTACACAAACGCGAAGACCGTATAAATCAAAATACGGTCTTAATTCTTAGGTTGTTAACTTAGATAAGTCATTTCATTTGCTGGCGTAACATATAATTATTAAGAAAAGTTTATAAAATCGGTGGAAAAAAAATATTACACCTTTGATATTTAAAATTTAATAAAGATATGAATTATAGAATTATATGCATCAATTATAGAGCTTTTTTTGTGCATCTAATTTTCGGGATTTTTTTTGCTTTGTTTTTGCGGTTGAATTAATTGTACATTAATTTGAAATTAATGTGCTATATTTATAAAAACGTGATTTTGTTATTTCATTAGCAGCAACTACGTGTATAATAATTATTTCAGTCACAAAAAAATGAATTCTAAGATATAATGAAAGTGATTATTGAAATTGCCATATCGTGTTCGTGTGCAGTGAAGTTTACTAGAAAAATAATTTTTAAATTTCCTATTGAAGCTTTGAATATTGCGATTTTATTATTAAATTAAAGGCTTGAATTTTGTAATAGAATATTAAAGCCAATGAAATAATAATTTATTACAAAATAATTCATTCGGAGTTTCCATTTTTTAAGTATATTTGCTAATAGAGCGGGCATTGATAAAGATTCATAGCGACTGTAAGTGATCAGAGGAGCTTTTAGAGGAAATAAGAAGATAACATACAATTCCGATTTGAGAAAACTTTTAGATAAATTAGGCGAGATATACAGTCTGGAACAAAGAGTAAAGAATAGATTAGGTCAAATGCAAACTCTTGTGAAACGGGAGATAAAAAATACCCTTTGTATGAGGTAAAGTTCCTCCCGAAATGAATCGAAAACCATGCTTACAAATATATTCATTCTTTATTCATAAAACATGACTAATTCTGGGTTCAAGTCTCACACTGTGGTTTTCGATGCTTTCCACCTACTGCAAAAAAAAAACATCACTAAGAGAATACATTTTTTGTTTGAAAGCCATTTGGAAGCACTTTTCTGGTTGCGGTCTTGTTCTGTGCGCAAACAAGAATATAAGAATTGCTTTTAAAAATATTAATGAGACTTTGTCTATCTTCGAAGGACTATATCCGTCACTTAATTTTGTGAACCGGAATATCATTGTGGTATTAGTTGGTCCATAACAAGGTCTCTAATAGAAAAATGGTTTGTAGCGGAAAAATTACTCCAGGTAATCGCTAGGTTAAAACACTGGTGTATCTGTTGAACTAACTGAGGTTGTTGGCAAGTTATCTGATGAGTCATAATGGCAAGATGGTTCTGTATGAAGGATATTGTCTCTATATTGGAATATTGTCTCTCTATGAACGCTGATGAGAACTCTAATTATAATCTCTGACTGTCTGGCTTTATTTTGCAATGGAAGTTTCAGGAACTAATAATGATTCTGGCTGATGATACTCTTTTAATTCATTTCTATCATTCTATTGCATCACATATCGTATGTAATATATATAATTTACTGAAATAATTTCGATTTTTCAAGCATGCCAACTTGGATGAAGACAGCTATTTTGAGTTACTTTCTTCAATACTGTATATGTATGTATTATATATATATTTATATATAATATGTATTT